TCTGGTTTGGGGTATTTTCATTCTTTTTATGCTGGTTTCTTCCCATCTTTATGGATTTATCTACCTGTGGTCTTTGTGGTTGGTAACTTTCAGATGGGATCTCTGAGTGGACATCCTTTTTGTTGCTGATGAAGTTATTTCTTTCTGTTTCTTAGTTTTCCTTCTAACAGGCCCCTCTGCTGTAGGGCTGCTAGAGGTCCACTCCAGATTCTGCTTGCCTGGGGATCACCTGCAGCAGCTGCAGAACAGTAGCGGTTGCTGCCAGTTTCTTCTTCTGTTATATTTGTCCCAGAGGGATACTTGCCAGATGTCAGCCTGAGCTCTCCTTTATGAGGTGTCTCTTTGGTTATATGGGGTTTGGGGAGTTGATTGAGGAGAGAGTCTGTCCCTTATAGGAGCTCAAGTGCTGAGCTGTGAGCTCCATTGTTCTGTTCAGAGCTGCTGGGCAGGTACATTTAAGTCTTCTGCAGCAGAACTCAGAACTGCCTTTTTTCCCCAGGAAGGTGGGGCTTTATTTATAAGTTCCCTTCATTCTACTGCCTTTTTTCAGAGATGTCGTGCCCAGTGAGGAGGTAGCCTAGTCACAGTCTGCCAGCAGAGGCACTGATGAGCTTCTGTGGGCTCTGCCCAGCTGCTGTGTGAACTTCCTCGCAGTTTTGTATATAGGTGTATAGTTAGAACTGATTCAGTAATGGCAGACTGCCTCAGTAATGGCAGACTGCCTCGGTAGTGGTGGACTGCCTCAGTAATGGTGGATGCCCTTCCCCCCACAGATCTGGACTGTCCCAGGTCCAGCTGTGCTTGCTGTGAAACTCTCAATCCAGAGGGTTTCATATTGCTGGTCTTTGTTGGGGTGGGACCAGCTGAGCCAGATCACCTGGCTCCCTGTTTTAGCCCCCTTTTTTTCAGTTGAACAGACGACTCTGTCTCCCAGGCACTCCAGTCACCAGCTGAAATGGCATCCAGATTTGTGTGAGTTTTTGTGCAGAGACCCGCTGGGCTGGCTGAAACAGCCACACTGGAGACTCATGGTGCTTTTCCACCCAGGAATCTCCTGGTCTGTGGGCAGTAAAAATTCATTTGGAAATGCAGTGATCACTCACCCTCTGAGTTTTCACTGGGAACTGCAATCCAGAGCTGTTCCTGTTCAGCCATCTTGGATCATCCCCCCGTCTCCAGAATTTTTAATGATTGCCATTCTAACTGGTGTGAGATGGTATCTCAATGTGGTTTTGATTTGTATTTCTCTAATGATCAGTGATGATGAGCTTTTCTTAATATGTTTGTTGGCCACATAAATGTCTTCTTTCGAGAAGTGTCTGTTCATATCCTTCACCCACTTTTTGATGGTGTTGGCTTTTTTCTTGTAAATTTTAAATCTTGTTTAATCTTGTAAATTCTTAAATCTTGTTTAAGTTCTTTGTAGATTCTGGATATTAACCCTTTGTCAGATGGACAGATTGCAAAAATTTTCTCCCATTCTGTAGGTTGCCTATTCAATCTGATGATAGTTTCTTTTGCTATGCAGAAGCTCTTTAGTTTAATTAGATTCCATTTGTCAATTGTCTTTTGTTGTAATTGCTTTTGGTGTTTCAATCATGAAGTCTTTGCCCATGCCTATGTCCTGAATGGTATTGCCTAGGTTTTCTTCTAGGGTTTTTATGGTTTTAATCCATCTTGAGTTAATTTTTGTATAAGGCATAGGAAGGGGTCCAGTTTCAGTTTTCTGCATATGACTGGCCAGTTTTCCCAAGACCATTTATTAAATAGGGAATCCTTTCCCCATTGTTTGTTTCTGTTAGATTTGTCAAAGATCAGAGGGTTGTAGATGTGTGGTGTTATATCTGAGGCTTCTGTTCTGTTCCATTGGTCTATACATCTGGTTTGGTACCGGTGCCATGCTTTATTGGTTACTGTAGCCTTGTAGTATAGTTTGAAGTCAGGTAGCATGAAGCTGCCTCCAGCTTTGTTCTTTTGCATTAGAATTTTCTTGGATATATATGCTCTTTTTTGGTTTCATATGAAATTTGAAGTAGTTTTTCCAATTCTGTGGAGAAAGTCAGCAATAGCTTGATGGGAATAGCATTGAATCTATATATTACTTTGAGCAGTATGGCCATTTTCACAATACTGATTCTTCCCATCCATTAGCATGGAATATTTTTCCATTTGTTTGTGTCTTCTCTTATTTCCTTGAGCAGTGGTTTGTAGTTCTTCTTGAAGAGGTCCTTCACATCCCTTGTAAGTTTTACTCCTATTTTATTTTCTTGGTAGCAATTGTGAATGAGAGTTCACTCATGATTTGGCTCTCTGTTTGTCTATTATTGGTGTATAGGAATGCTTGTGATTTTTGCACATTGATTTTGTATCCTGAGATTTTGCTGAAGTTGTTTATCAGCTTAAGGAGTTTTGGGGCTGAGATGATATTTTCTAAATATATAATCACATATCTGCAAACATAGACAATTTGACTTTCTCTCTTTCTATTTGAATACCCTTTATTTCTTTCTCTTGCCAGATTGTCCTGGCCAGAATTTCCAATACTATGTTCAATAGGAGTGGTAAGAGAGGGCAACCTTTTCCTGTGCCAGTTTTCAAAAGGAATGCTTCCAGCTTTTGCTCATTCAGTATGATGTTGGCTTTGGGTCTGTCATAAGTAGCTGTGAACATCCCTTTCTTAACCAGTCACTTTATTCTAGGACAAAATTTACCTTACATGATTCTTTCTTACCTAAAATTATTTCTCTTTAAGCTTTCTCACCAAAAATACTGCTTTATTTTTATTATTTTCTTTACATCTCCCTTATTTTCTCATTCCTTTTACCTTGTTTTATACACAACCTTTCAATAAACTTAGAATTAGACAAAAATTATTCACCTTTTTAAAGAAAACTTTTTTTAGAATGTTTTCCTACAACATGTTTTTCTTTGAAAATATCCAAATAATGAAATATTTATTATTTAATTTAATTTTACATTCTAAATTATGACATTTGTCTACAAATATTTATCCCATGTAATGGGATAAATAATTATTTTAATTATTTTAATCGTTTACCTAGATTATTTATGAAAACTATGATAGCCATCATTTAAAGTTATGAAACTGCTATAACAGAGACAATGAAAAAGATCCAATCTAACTGACTCCATCTTGCCTCTAACCTCCAAGTTGTCTTTGTTCATTTCTGGGTGTAGGCTGAACTAACTTTGGGAGGAACTTAGTTTATAGTTTAACTTTGAAACAAAGATGGTTATAGTCCTTTTCCGAAACAAACCTCCTTTCTGCCTATGGATTAGATTGCCTAAAGCCACAAGATTAGAAGTTATGGTAATTTTACTAAATAATTCAAGATGTAGCTATTTTCATTAAGCCAATGTCAATGTCTTATTTATTAAAAAATAAACAAGCAAAGATTATTCTGTTTTGGGTTGGGTTTATAGTTTTGTAACCCTTATGCAAAATTTTGATACCTTATAGTATTTGACAGATATAAGTATGAAATTGCTTGATTAATAAATCCAAACAAAAATGTATGTTGGCAATTCTCTTTTTTTTCAGGGCAGTCATTATTTAATTTTTTAAACTCCCATTTAAATTTGTAATGTTTTCAATGAACATCACTTAAAGAAGTAGTCAACATAAGTTAGGAAGACATAACAATACTCTTTCTCTTAGAAAATACAACAAAAATATAATTTTTTACAGTTTTGCCCTCAAACTTTTCTCTTTAGTAACATGCCTTACTCACCTCTACTATAGGTTTGTTGTGAGAATCTTGTTATGTAAACCCTGCGTGTTCTATGAAGCATTTTTAAGCTTCTAGTTTATACCCTACTGACTCTTATTCAAGTGTTTTTTAAAAAATATTTAAACAACGCTTTTTTTCTTGTCAATATTTTTATAATTTCTAAGAGGTTTTAAGGATCTTGAGAGAAAATTTATTACAGAAGTATCTACTACTATTACTAGTCGAGGAAACAAATTTAGGTAGAAGAAATTCTTAATATTTTGTCCTCTATACATCTTAATCATCCTAATGGCAAAAACTCACATGAAACTTTAAAACACAAGGTAATATGGGAATCTCAACATGGAAAGTTGTCACTATAACTACAAGCAGTGTACAAACATGCTTCTACTTTAACCTACGTAAGCTGACGGATGTTTAAAATACTAGTTTAACAAAGATCTTTTAGTAAAATGACATAAGCAGATTTAAACTAGAAAGGATTATGGATGAATCCTTACTAATTAATTGGAAGATCTGAGACATATTTTATACTTCATTTTACAAAATCAGAAATATTTATTTTGAAACAAGATAAGAAGACATGGTCTGCCTGTCTAAAAGCCACCACTCAGAAATATTTTTCATACACAAAGCAGGAAAAACATAAAACCATTTAAATTTCACATTGGCACCAAAAAGGTCAATTGCCCTGCCTTCTCAGATTAGAAAAAACTAAAGCTGAGTGATAAGTAGTTTTGCAGTCATTTGAAAACGTCCAAGCTTTTAAATTAGCAAAATATTTTCTAAAAATTCTGATAACAAAATGAATACATACTTATAAAAGAATTCAAACAGGGCCAGGTGTGGTGGCTCACACCTGGAATCCCAGCACTTTGGGAGGCAGAGGTGGGTACATCACCTGAGGTCAAGAGTTAGAGACTACCCTGGCCAATATGGTGAAACCCATTTCTACTAAAAATACAAAAATTAGCCAGGCATGCTTGTGGGCACCTATAATCTCAGGTACACAGGAGGCATGGGAGGCTGAGACAGGAGAATCACTTGAACCTCAGAGGCGGAGGTTGCAGTAAGCCGAGATCGTGTCACCACACTCCAGTCTGGGCAACAAGAGCGAAACTCCATTTTTTTAAAAAAGTTGCAAACAGAACAAAATGAAAAAAATACCAAGCAAAAGGCCCCTACAAAAACCCCTCTGGGGCCCATCCCCCTACCCTCGCTCAAGAGAAACCACATTTAACACTTCGGTGCTTATCTTTCCAAATCTTTTGTTTTACACATATAAAAAACATACAGGCTTTGATTTGCCTCAGGCTGTACATAGTGTTTTCCCGCTTGCATTCTACACTTAATATATGTTTATCATCTTTCCATGTCAGTGCATGCTGTCTCGATGGCATTCTACCATTAAATACCCTTTCAAAAATGGCAAAATCACTTTAAAAATTCGTCCACACAAGTACATGTTTAAATTTTAAAAGAAAACGGACAGAATCCTAAAACACAAAAACAAACCTCCAAAAATAATCTCTATCTTTCCACCAGCATGGAATAGTTCATTCCTTTTTCACACAAAACAAATTATGTGGTTTTTGAAGATTAACTCCAATCTCCACATTTATATACAGAATGCTCCATTTGTTAAGCCTAACTGAAAAGAATAAAAAAGTTCAGATGATTAATTCACTTACACTTAGAAATTAAATAAATATTCTATGAATACGCATTGTGATCAGTTATAATATGATGCTTCTTAGTCTAAGCTTTCAATTAAATAACAGCAAAAAAAATGGATAAATAATACAGCTACTGCCTGAAACATCCAGAAATTCAAAGATTATATTGCCAACTAAAACACTGCCATTTGTTTTTTTTTTTTTTTCCTACTTGGTAGCAAATGTTAATGGAATTCAGTCCTGGTTAGTTAAAGTCAGTTCACATCGCATATTCAATCAGGGTAATAAGAAGAACCTAATATGCCTATTACAGAGTTAGATTAAAATATAAAAATTTTTGGCTTGAAAGTAATGACTGTGTAGCACATAGGACTTTGTCAACTGCTTCAGCACATTGTTTACGAATGACGGGATGTCCACAAGGAATAAAAACGACAGCAATATTTCTATCCACACAGCTTTTGCAAAGCTGTTCTTCAATACCAATCTCTTTCTACAATGAAATCTGACTTGATTCATTTTGCCTACTGTCTTTCTGAGCCTTCACTGGATCGGCAACCAGAACCTCAAGAGAGTTGTAGTTGCTCCCAGATCTTTTAACTTTTTTCCTCCATTATTTTCTTAATGTCCTTGAAACTGAACCCCTTTCATATAGCTCCTTGTAACATAGGATTATGGAAGATGGTATCATCAATTTTTCTAGTTAGTGATGGTGTTTTTTCAACAGTTCTTATGAGTCACTCCTCAAATGAATGGGATAAATGAAGATTGTTTATATTTTCTTGCTTCTTCTGTTCTAACAGATATTTACACCCTGGATACCATTTAGCATGTTGTTCCCAAGGTTCTTAGCTGGGCCTCCAATCAGTCAGCCCCCCTCCACAGTGAAAGCACTTTACCACCTTCACCTAAAGCATAAAATCCAGCTTTTGCATGGAAGGATGGATTTCTTGGAGAATTTGTTGAATTTGGGAAATTGCACACCAGGACAGCTAGCCCAAACTGCCCGCAACAATCGGCTTGGTACAAGGGGAGGGTCCTGAAGGGGGTGCGGCCAGAGCCCCAATCTGGAAATGCCAATTTGGCTCTGCAGCCAGGCCCTAGGCACTTGGGCCTGGCATGCCTCAATTAGTGCCATGCGGGCTCCGCCGTCACCAAGGTCCTGCCACTTCCCCAAGCCAAAAACAGGCAGCAAGAAAAAAGGAAGTCATCCTACCCTCCCCCCACCCCACCAACCCCCACCCCAGCTGTAATCCAGAAACTGCTGGCAATTCTTAAGACGCTTCTAGTAATTTTAAGGCTAACTTATTTATTAAAGATTTTACTTAAGTGACATAAACTTGAAAAAGCATTTGACTAGTGTTTTCCTTTTTTCTGATAAAGTATTTGATTCAAGCACTTTTATTGTCTTAAGCCAATTAATTAGAGATCCTCTATATATTTTCAGTAGTGAAAACTTGTGTACACAGCACATAAATACAAAGACATATTAGTGATGCTGATAGAAGTACATCTTATAGATTCATAAAGACCTTTTTATTTTTTTTTCTATCTTAGACTTTCTAGTTCTTGATAACTTGTTTCACTGCTTTGGCAGTTGTCAGCTAAACAGCCGTATATCTGTATATTAAAGGAAACAACTCTTAGATGAAAAACCAGATTGCAAAATTTACATCTCAAGGTACAGAAGAAAAAGTCTGGTGGTACTAGAGGGAAATTAAAGATGGATGCCATATCCACCATAAAATTATAGAAATCTACCATGGGATTGTATAGGAGACCAATTTTATTTAGACTGACACTACCTTTTTTTTTTTTTTTTTGAGACGGAGTCTCACTCAGCTAACCAGGCTGGAGTGCAATGGTGCATTCTCAGCTCACTGCAACCTTCGCCTCTCAGGTTCAAGAGATTCTCCAACCCCAGCCTCCCAAGTAGCTGGAATTACAGGTGTGCACCACCATGTCTGGCTAATTTTTTTGTATTTTTAGTAGAGATGGGGTTCCACCATTTGGGCCAGGCTGTCTCAAACTCCTGATCTCAGGTGATCTGCCCATCTTGGCCTCTCAAACTGCTGGGATTACAGGTGTGAGCCACCGTGCCCAGCCGAGACTACTTATCTTTTAACTGGATTTCTGAGCTCTGGGCAGAGCCCACCCTGAATCCTGGTCTCCAAGAAGGGAGAATTATTGCGAGGCTAAACCATGTGATGCTTTTACAGTGCACTTTAAAAAAAAATTTTTTTAAGTCTTCTACATGTCTAAACTACAGTCTTCCTTGAAAACCCAAGAGTAGCCTCTGTTTCAATAGCTAGTCAAAAATATAATAGTCAAAAAAATCAGGTAACACAATACAAACATAAGCAGTTTAAGAGCTGAAACAAACTTGTCTGTTTATACTCTAGGGATTCCATAAGGAAAAATAGAAGTTTCTCCCAAAAGGGATCCTAGTACCCTCTCCATTTTCTTTAAGGAACCCCAGGCTATTATAATCTATTTTAGGTCTCCGCAGCAGACGGTGGAAAAGAAAGGAGAGACAGCAGAAGTAAATAAAGAAAACAGAATCCAGTCAACTGAGAAGAAAAAAACTTTTGCTCAAATAGACAAGTTCCTAGGAGAGGAAAGAAAAAACGAAAGGCCTTTTAAATACAAACACACACACATACACACACATCTTGGATGTTAGCTTTTAATTAAGATGACTTTTAACCATTGAGCTCTTTTTTAAAAAATCTTTTAAAATCTTACTACCATATTTCAGCTAGGACAAATTGCTGCTATTTCAGAAGTACCAAGTATCAAACCAGAAAAGGCCTGGTTTAGGAACCAGACCCAGGCTGTCATGGTAGAAAAAAAGGCAGAACCTTAGCTATGGAACTGCAGCATGGGGCAGCAGCCATTGCTCTTTCAGTTTGGCCTGGCTAGCAAAAAGGTGGCCTTGTTATTAAAATAAAGTCCCTTTAGTAGTCAAAATAAAAAATCTTCCTTTTTTTTTTTTTTTTTTTTTTTTTTGCTGTCTGTTTTTTCCCCCACCACACCACCTTTTTTTGGTGGGGGGGTTGGAATTTAGCCACTTCAGAGGACTCGTTCCCCATAATACTTTCCTTTGGATTTGATCAAGTCAGAATTTAGACATTTCAGGGGCCTCGTTCCCCATAATTCTTTCCTTTGGATTTGATCAAGTCGGATAGAGTAGGTCAAACCCAATGGGAAAAAGACCAAAACAACAACAAAAACAGAAGCAAACAAACAGTTAAACAAAAAAAAAATCGTACAACTTATATGATTACTGAGTGCTCTCTCCAATGGTAAGGAGAAATTAAGACCAGCTGGTTGTTAAACGTTAGCCAAGACAAAATCCCAATTCAACTACTTACCTAGGGAGGGGTCTCAGGCTGAAGATGGCTCTCCACCATTCTAGAAGCAGGAAAATAACTTGGACTCGTCTTCCCTGCTGGGAATGAGCTCAAACTCCTTAAAGGAGCTACCTGCCTGCCATCATCATGGAAGCAGGAAATCTTGCCTTCCTTGTTGGAAGCAACTAAAACTCAAAAAATAAATAAATAAATAAACTTTTGATCTTGATCAAATTTTGGAAGACCAGGGTTTCTCTGGAGGAGATACTTTCAGACCTCAGCAAATTGTCCTATTAATTTGAGCCATAAAGTTAGCTCATGCTAGTACCAAGTAACAATAGGAGATTTGTCAAAGGTAAGGGGCATCTCCACTCAGAATTCCTTCCTGGCTACCAAAATGTGAACCCCCAAAAATCTGAGACAGGTCTCAATTATTTAGGAAGTTTGTTTCGCCAAGGTTGAGGATGCACAGCCTCCGGAGGTCCTGGCCACATGTGCCCAAGGTAGAGCACAGCTTGGTTTTATAAATTTTATGGAGATGTGAGACATCAATCAATACATGTAAGATGTACATCAGTTCCATCCAGAAAGGCAGGACAACTTGAAGCAGGGAGGGAGCTTCCAGGTCACAGGTAGGTGAAAGACAAACAGTTGCATTCTTTGAGTTTCTGATTAGCCTTTCCAAGGAAGGCAATAAGATGTGCATTTATCTCAACAGAGGGATGATGTTGAATAGAATGGGAAGCAGGTTTGCCCTAAGCAGTTCCCAGCTTGACTTTTTCCTTTAGCTTAGTGATTTGAAGGCCCCAATATTTATTTTCCTTCTATATCACTGTGGGCAGCAGAATAGAAAAGCTGTGTAGGACTGGCAGGCAGTGTGAGAGCCCAGTGGGGGGTGATTGTCCTATGCCCACGGCAGCAACCACCTGTGAGGCTGAATAAACTCATTTCCCCACCTCCTCTAGCAGCCCCGGTGGAGATACAGAGGAAGCAGACCAGCGATACAACACAGTCTGAAGTATTGTCTGGTGAGTGTAATAGAATAAAAATGGGAAGGGTGCTGAGGAGACCAGAAAGAAAATGGTTGAAGAGATGGGGCACAGAAATTAAGCTGACTCAAAAAGGAAGGAAAAGCAGAAAGGGCTGATAGAGAGAGGAGATGTCTATGGGTTAGCAGTCCTGATAAGGACAAATCATTGGTGCTTTGAGAAGAGAGAGGGTGAGAAAGCAGGAAGGCTAGAGGCTGTCATCCCAGAGGACATCTGTGAGCATGATTCTAAGAGACACCAGACCATGGGAGTGGCCAAAGAAAGTGCCTCTTCTCACCTCTTGCTCTTAATTCCTTGTACTCAAGACAGTAAGTTCCCTGAAAAGAAGTACCCATGTTTAATTCATCTGTGTCTTCCTAGCAGTACTAAAGACATTATATGAAAGGTATCTAAACCTTTGAGAATGTGTGATGCTAAATTGTTAAGGATGCTGGAAAACTCAGGACACCCCTGTGTGGTGAGCCCAGTGCAGGTCTCCATTTGGACAAAGGCCTCAGGGAACTAATGAGACATAGGGACAGGGATGCCCGCCAGAGCAGCATTCCCCATCCCACTGCAGCCCAGGCCAGCTGACCACTTTATGAGTAAATATTGCCACTGAACACTTTGCAGTCATAACACATGTGCCCACCTATGACCACTGATCCCTGTAGGGTGATCACTGGCATCAGAGATTTGATGGCAGCCATGAAGACAAGGCCATCCTCATTAGGAAGGGAAGGAAGGAGAAGGGAGGAGGGCAAGCGAATCTTTCCTGCTTGTCAACCACACCCATCTCTGTTAGGTGATTTCCCATGGGTGACTTTGTTCATCTTTATAATAACTCTGAGAATTGGGTCTTACTGTCCACATTTTGAACATGAGGACATCTGGCCAGGAAGCTGAGTAACTTCCAGGGACATAGACAAGAGGGCAAAGCTATATCCAATCCCCTCTTTGTTTTTTCCGGCTTATCCACTGAGTGCCCCCTGGAATCCACCAGCCCATTTGCAGAGTGCTTACTATGGGTAAGATGGCACAGGAGGAGTGGACATGGGCAATTTTGTCATGGCTCTCCAGGAACTTACTCACTGGTGAGCAGGAGCAGGTATGTTCCCAACCAGTCACAGTCAAAGCGGGAATGCTATGTTGAAAGGTTCTTTTCTGGCTTTTAAAATGATGGGTTTGTTTCCTCGTTCTTAAGATTGCTTTTTCACTGACTAGAACTTAAAAGAAATTTTCACAAAAATTTCCCTTCCCTGGCACAAAGTGAGCTTGAAATGAATCCCCATGTGCCTTTGATATTTTAAAATATTGGCCTCCTGTAAAATCAACCTTTGGAAGAAGGAAGTCAAAGAACATGCTAGATTTCACAAAGTCTAGTTCCTTGAAATCCAGTTGTCTACAGGATAATGTTGTCAAAGAAAAATTATTTGGCAGGGCACAGTGGCTCACTCCTATAATCCCAGAACTTCGGGAGGCCGAGGCAGGTGAATCACCTGATGTCAGGAGTTCAAGACCAGCCTGACCAACATGGTGAAACCCCATCTCTACTAAAAATACAAAAAATTAGCCTGGCATGGTGGAGGGTACCTGTAATCCCAGCTACTCTGGAGTCTGAGGCAGGAGAATCACTTGAACCTGGGAGGAGGAGGTTGCAGTGAGCCGAGTTCAAGCCACTGCACCCCAGCCTGGGCAACAGAGCAAGACTTTGACTCAAAAAAAAAAATTATTGAATGATATTTTTAAATTCACTGTAAGGAAGATTTTTATTCATAGCCAGCACAGAAGTTATAGGCACCACTGCAATGGGACTTTGCAGTGGGGGAAAGAGATTGGACACAACTTCATATAGAGCACAGGCCAGGACATAGTCAGAGCCAAGAAACCGAGCAGAGATCCGTGGATGCAAAATTACTAAGAGGAAACATGAAAACTAAGGGAGCTTCTGCCTAAACCCACCTAACAGGATCCTTGCTGAAAACAGGACAGGGTAATTAGACACCATCTTGGGGATGGTGGAGAATGGGGAATTCAGTGAGATTTCAAGGGTCATCAGATATCAAGGGTGATTAGATATTGAGCATAGAAGTTTCTAGATAAAAGAGGATTTTGCAAGAAAGTGTACAAATGTGCCTAGGAGAAGGTTCAGGAGCCTGACTAAAATTTGGTCAAGCAGAGAATATTTGTCAGTGTAGGAGCTAAGTGTTCTGACAAACAACAGATGTTAAGCCAGCCAGGGTGACATGTGCTACAAGAAAGCACTGAGGGCTTATTTCCTTTTCCCCCAATCTCCACTCAGTCAAGTGTAATCCCCTTGTCAATGCAGCCATTTGTAAGAAGGCAATCAGGCAGGGTCCCAACTTCTAGTGACAGAACTGAATGACTCATTTCTGCTGAAGAGAATGGCCTGGAGCTGACGCTGAGATTTCAGAGTGCTGGGATTCCCCAAATGGCAGTGTAGTGCCATGCCCTCTCTCCAACTGAACGCCCAGTGTGGGCAGGAGCAACTGCAACTGAGACCTGCCTGATCTGCTAACTAGTCTTGTCCCTCAGCTATAAACTGACTGACTTTGGCAGCTGGCCAGAGAGATGAACAAGAGATCTCTGATGCCTTTAAGCCCCTGTGGAGTGGGACTCTGTTGGGGAAAGTCATTCTCTTGTCTGAGCAGCAATTTCAGAAGGAAGTCCCATTTGCCTAGTCAGCTAGAGCAAAACAATCTACAGGACAGGACCCAGGGATGTGATCCTCCACCCAAAGGCACTGAAGTAAATGACTCTAAAATACTTTCCAGGACTCATATTCTTTGAAGAACAAGGAGTAAAACATAAGACACATAAGACAGGAGCCAGCAAGTGAGGACTTGGAAGGAGATGATTCATTCAATCAGTCTCCACTGAATAATTTTAATCATCCATGCTGGCATGGGGACATGATATGAATAAGTTGACAGGGGTTTACTCTGATTAAGCAACGGGCTCGTGCAGAGACCTGTCAGTCAAGAGTAAACAGGAGATGATTTCAGACAGTGAGAACAAAATTAACAAAGCCATGTGCCAAAGTGTGGCTGAAACTACGGATGAGTTTAAGAATTGAGAGGTCTGGGGAGTTGTTTGTTTTGGTTTGTTTTGTTTTTAAGACAAGGTCTTGAATGGGCATGGTGGCTCATGCCTATTAGTCCCAGCACTTTGGATGGCTGAGGTGGGTGGATCTCTTGAGCACAGGAGTTTGAGGCTACTCTGGGCAACATAGCAAGACACTTCCCTACAAAAAGCGTGCAGGTTGAGGCTGCAGTGAGCAGAGACACACTGCTGCACTCTAGCCTGGGTGACAGAGCAAAACACTGTCTCCAAAACAAATAAACAAACAAAAAACAGAGTCTTGCTGTGTCACACAGGCTGGAGTGCAGTGGTGCAATCATGGCTCACTGCAGCCTGGAACTCCTGGGCTCAAGCGATTTTCCCACCTTGCCCTGCCAAAGTGCTAGGGCTACAGGTGTGAGCCAGCACACTTGACCTCAGAAGAGATCTTAATAATAAAAGGACAAATTGCCTTGTGTCCCTTAGGGGCAGGATTGACACATCCAAGGATCAAGCAGAAGGCCTATGCTGAGTGGGCTGAGCAAAGAGAAAGGCTGAGAGCTGGGAAGAGGAGATGCAGTGCCAGGTGGGACAGGGCCTTTTAGGCTATGGGAGGCTTTCAGAGGAGGCTCCACCTAAACTAAGCCATGACATTGCAGTGGGGGCCTGTTGAAGACATAGACTTCTACCTGAAAGCCAGAGAATTGGAAGGAGTATTTCCTCTGAAGAGGGACTCCAGTCCACAGGCATCTTGCCACCAAAGACATGGACAGGCCCTGGGGAAAAGATGATGGTGGCCTCACTAGAGGAAAACCATTTGCCACCTGAACTAGCCCAGGGTGGCTACCCAGGCACTCAGGATACACACCCATGCATGCATACACAGAATCATACTCCTTCATGTTATTCCTCAATTCAGGGATTTCAACACCCATTTTTTTATTTTTGCTTTTTTTTTACATTTTTACTTTTTTTTATTTACTACTTTGAGACAGGGTCTCACTCTGTTGCCCAGGCTGGACACGGCACAGTGGTGCAATCATATTAGGCTGGTGCAAAAGTAATCACAGTTTTTGCCATTATAAGTTCTGCCATTACTTTGCTATTACTTTTAATGGCAAAAATCGCGATTACTTTTGCACCAACCTAATAGCTCACTGGAGCCTCAAATTCCTGGTCTCAAGGAATCCTCCTGCCTCAGCTTCCTGAGTAGCTGGGACTACAGGCATATGCAATCACACCTGAGTAATTTTTTTGTTTTGTTTTGTTTTTTTTTGGTAAAGATAGAAACTCATTTTGTTGTCCAGGCTGGTTTCAAGTTCTTGTCTTTGTGCCTTCCTCTGCTCTGTGCAAGACCTTCTGGATGCCCAGCTAATGAAGACTTCCAGGGAGAGGAAAGGTACACATAAGTCCCTGAGTAAAGAAGCAGGGTTTATCAACCACAAAC